AACCTCTTCTATAGAAGAGGTTCCACAAATCTACAGTGCCGTTTAGAACCGGTTCCAGCTCCCTCCCTCCCGCCCGTCCGCACATCATCAAGATGAAGAGCGAGAGGAGGAATTCTGGGAGTTGAAGTCCACAAGTCTTAAAGCTGTCAAGTTACAAGAAAAAAAACCCCAGGGGTGTTCAAACTTGACAGCTTTAAGACTTGTGGACTTCAACTCCCAGAATTCCTCCTCTCGCTCTTCATCTTGATGATGTGCAGACGGGCGGGAGGGAGGGAGCTGGAACTGGTTCTAAACGGCACTGTAGATTTGTGGAACCTCTTCTATAGAAGAGGTCAGAACTGGCAGGAACCCACCCCTGTGGCAAACCAATGGCCATGCTGCCGAAGGTGGCACGCAGAGGCCTCTCATTGGGCACACACATCATCCCCAGCTGCTCCTCTGGTTTCCCCTCATATTTGCTGGCACCGGAGCAATGGAAAATGTCCTGAGAATGGCCTGAAAAATGCCCCCAAACAAGGCCATTTTATGCGTCCTTTCTGGGCCACTTTCCAGACCATTTCTAGGCTGGGTTTTGGGTCATTTTCAGTCCTGTTTGTGAGTCATTTTATGCCGGTTTTTGGACATTTATGGGTGTTTTCTTTGGCCCCCAAAAATGTGTTGTTGTTTTTTTGGCTTGAAAAACATTTGTTTTTGCCTGAAAAACGGCCTACAAACAGCTGGAAAAATGGCCCCCAAAACACCAAAAAGACAGGAATTCACGTGCCAGCCAGTGAGCATGCATGTTCTGGTTTGGGCAGTCAGTGCCGAAAAGGTTCACCATCACCGCTTTAATCCATCCAAAAGGAGAACAGGGCAAGAGGACAAATGTAAAGACCCCCATCTTTAAACTGGAGTTGTTGGGGAATTGGGCTCATCCGAGGTCGTAAGTCGAGGACTTCCTGTATTATTATCACGCCTGTGGCCATTCTTCCCTAAGCTGATCCTCACAACAACCCTCCATGGTGGTCAGACTAAGGGGGCTGCAGAAAGTCCCCCCCGCCCCGGGAGCTGCCTTGAGCCTCCTCCCTCTGCTTCCTCTCCCAGCACCAAAACAAACCGCATGTATGCAACAATGAAGACAACTCACTCCCCCATGCCCACTTCACGGGTGGCTCACCTCTCTCGCTTGGCACGAAGAGGTATCCTTTGTTGGGTCCATCTGGACTGGAGCTGAGGAGGCAGCCTGGGGGCGCCAGGCAGACTCGGCTGTGGTACGGAGGCTTATGTGACTGGGCGAAATACAGCTTCCTGGGGAAAAGCAATAGCCCTTAGACTTATATGCCGCTTCATGTTGCTTCACGGCCCTCTCTAAGCAGGTTACAGAGTCAGCCTCTTGCCCCCAACCATCGAAGTCTTCATTTTACCGACCTCGGAAGGATGGAAGGCTGAGTCAACCTTGAGCTGGTCAGACTCGAACTGTCGGCAATAGCAATAGCAATAGCAGTAGACTTATATACCGCTTCATAGGCCTTTCAGGCCTCTCTAAGCGGTTTACAGAGTCAGTATATTGCCCCCAACAACAATCTGGGTCCTCATTTTACCCACCTTGGAAGGATGGAAGGCTGAGTCAACCCTGAGCCGGTGAGATTTGAACCACTGAACTGCTGAACTAGCAGTCAGTTGAAGTGGCCTGCAGTACTGCACTCTACCCACTGTGCCACCTCGGCAGTGGGCAGAGTCAGCCTGCAATATGGAATTCTAACCACTGGGAAGGAAGGAAGGAAGGAAGGGAGGGAGGGAAGGTAGGTAGGTAGCACTAGCACTTAGACTTAGATATTGCTTCACAGTGCTTTACAGCCCTCTCTAAGCGGGTTACAGAGTCAGCCTCTTATCCCCCAAAATCTGGGTCCTCATTTTACCGACCTCAGAAGGATGGAAGGCTGAGTCAACCTTGAGCCGGTCAGAATCGAACTGCCGGCAGTGTGCAGAGTCAGCCTGCAATATGGCATTCTAACCACTGGGAAGGGAGGGAGGGAGGGAAGGTAGGTAGTTAGGTAGCACTAGCACTTAGACTTAGATACCGCTTCACAGTGCTTTACAGGCCTCTCTAAGCGGGTTACAGAGTCAGCCTCTTGCCCCCAACAATCTGGGTCCTCATTTGACCCACCTTGGAAGGCTGAGTCAACCTTGAGTCAGAATTGAACTGCCAGCAGTGAGCAGAGTTAGAAAGCAATACTGCGCCACCGCAGTAAGGAGAAGAAACCCACTGGTGTGACAACCAGCTCAGAACACACACACACAAACAAACACACACACACATACACATACACACACCCCTATCCCCAATCTAGTGCTCTCCAACATTACCCTCTGAGCTCGTCTGCCCACCCGCTCAGCATTACCGTGTGCGCTGTTGCTCCTGGGTGGCCACGTAGAAGCTGAAGTCGGATTTCCACCCTCTCTTCGTGTCGCATGATAAGCTGGTCATCATCCACTTCTTGCTGGCCCCTGGTTGGACATGCCCTACTGTGGACATACAAGCGGTCAGCCTCTTGGTGAAGTTACCGTAAGGAACTTTATACACCTAAGCATGGATTAATGAAAACACAACACTTCACTGTAGGTCTCTAGAGGCTGGCAGGAGGGGGGAGGGGGGGCAAGCAGGGCACAAAAGACAACTTAAGGGTGGCATGCCCCTCTCTCTCTTGGGCTCAGCCAAGTGGCAAGCAAGGAACGCGGAGTTGGCACTTGCCACCTGACCCGCAGCTCCAAGAGCAGCTATGAAAGAGGCCGTTTAGAGCACTTTGGACTACAAGTCCCACTGCCCACAACCATCATGGAAGGACGAGCAGCCCTGCAGTCCAGCAACGATCTAGACCAGGGGTCCCCAACTCCCGGTTAGCGGTCTAGTACTGGGCCATGGCCTATTTCCAACCGGGCTACGTGAGCGGTGGGCTGGCGCAGCTGGCAGCTTAACATGCCCGCCACTTGCACAAGTTGAACTGTGCATGTGTGCGCGGACTAGCCCGCTGCTCACACGGGCCAGTCCCCCTCTCCCACCCCTCCACCGTGCTGCCAAGCCACAAAGGTTGGGGACCACTGATCTAGGTTCAGTGGAGACTGATCTAATCTAAGCATCGCAAATGCAATGCCCCCTACGCAAAAGCTGGACGATGCGCTATTGAAGGGGCCCAAGCTGCCCAATTGCCCCTCTGTGCCGATTTATGGTCTCCCCTGACAAAGGAGTCACCTCTTCATCATTGTCGCCTGTCGGGGCTTACCTGGAAGGATGGCACTTCTCCATCTTTCGCGGGCACTGTCTGCCAGGGTGCCGGCACAGTAGCGTTGAGAGAAAACCTGTAGATCACCGGCCGGCTGCTGCCTTTGGATCTGAAGATGTAGACGGTTCCCTGGGGATCTGGAGGAGACAAGACGGTCGTCAGATCGCCTGTTGTGGCCTGTCGGGCGGCGGCCCCTTCAGCAACGGAATCAGAGGAGGAGGAGGCGTGGGAGTCAGGGCAGGGCATCAAAGCAACCTGAGAGCTTCGAGGAGGAAGAGGGAATGGAGCTGGCAGAGAGAGAGAGACGGAGGTGGAGCCTGGGCCGTCCGTCAGCCCTCAGATGGAGAGTCAACAGCCCCCAGCTCTGGAGGTGGCTGATGAGGAAGAGGAGGAACAGCTGGGTCCAGTGCCTGACTGCAGATGCACAGAAGGCAGAGGAGAGGAGAGCAGTGGAAATCTATGGGCCGGCCCTTGGCACTGAAGAGGCACTGCTGCTAGCAAAGCCCCACCCTAGCTCTGGGGATAAAAGGCAGGGGGAGGAGATAGGTGTGGCAAACAACTATTCATCCCCCTGCCAGACAGACTTGTTAGCCTGCGGTGAGAAAGAAGCTTTTTGCCGGGGCTG